AATAGGATTTTGTACTGATAAAACGATTAATCCATGAAGAGGATATAACAATTATGAACATATACACATCTGACAACAGAGCCCTAAAACACATGAAGCAAAAAAATGACAGATTTCAATGGAGAAATAGATAGTTCCACAGTAACAGCTGGAGACTTCAATACTCCACTTCTGATAGCCATAGAAAAACTGGACAAAAGACTGATAAGGAAATGGAGGACTTGAACAACAAAACCAGCTAGACCTAACACAATAGAGAACACTCCAAACAGCAACAGAATACACATTCTTCTTAAATGCACATAAAATTCTCAAGGACAGATCATATGCAAGGTCATAAATGAAGGATTGAAATAATACAAAGTATATTCTCTGGTCACAATGGAGTAAAACCAGAAATCAATAACAAGGAAAGGTGGGGAATTCACAGGTAGAAATTAAACAACACTGTCCTAAACACCCAATGGTCAAAAAAGAAACCAGCAAACACTTTGAATGAAAAAGAAGACAAAACATGCCAAAACTTAATGGCATGCAATGAAGGCAGAGCTTATCTACAAAAGCAAGGCTCAAAGAGACATTTATAGCTACAAATGCCTACATTAAAGAATAATCCCAAATGAATAACCTAACTTTGAATCATAAGAAATGAGAAAAAAAAAAAAAAACAAAGCTCCAAAGCAAGCAGAAGTAATAATGTAGATTCAATGGAGATAACATGAACTACAGAAACCGACTCAAGAGGAAACAAAATCTAGACTTATAAGAAGACATTGAATCAGTAATGAAAAAAAAAATTTCCCCAAATAAAAACACACAATCAGATGGCTTTACTGGTGAATTCTACCAAACATTTAAAGAATTAACATCAATCATTAACATTAATCCTTCTCAAACTCATTATCCAAAAACAAGGGGTGGGAAAACTTCCTTGTTCTATAAGGCCAGTAGTACCCTGATACTAAAGGCAGTAAAGACATCACAAAAAAACTGTAGACCAATATTCCCTGTGAATACAGACGTAAAAAGTCCTCTTCAAATTCTAATAAACAATCCTGCAGCATATGAACAGAATTTTATGATCAAGTGGTATTTATCTCAGGAATGTAAAGTTGGTTCAAAATATGATTATCAATAAATATATACCATATTAACAGATTAAAAGAAAAAAACAGGCCAGGCATGATGGCTCACTCCTGTAATGCCAGCACTTTGGGAGACCGAGAGGGGTGGATCACCTGAGGTCAGGGGTTCGAGACCAGCCTGGCCAACATGGTAAAACCCTGTCTCTACTAAAAATCCAAAAAATAGCTGGGTGTGGTGGCGGGCACCTGTAATCCCAGCTACTTGGGAGGCTGAAGCAGAAGAATCAGTTGAATCCAGAAGGCAGAGGTTGCAGTGAGCTGAGATCACGTCATTGCACTCCAGCCTGGGCAACAAGAGCCAAACTCTGTCTCAAAAAAAAAAAAGGAAAGAAAAAAGAAAAAAAATAGTAATCTCAATAGATGTTGAAGAATTTGGCAAATACCAAAATGCTTTCATGACAAAAGTACTCATCAAAATAGAAAAAGAAGGGAATTTCCTCAACATGAAATCCTCAGATCCTTAAAAATCCAAAAGAAAATAGTTAATAAATTCAGCAAAGCTGGCCGGGCGCGGTGGCTCAAGCCTGTAATCCCAGCACTTTGGGAGGCCGAGACGGGCGGATCACGAGGTCAGGAGATCGAGACCATCCTGGTTAACACGGTGAAACCCCGTCTCTACTAAAAAATACAAAAATCTAGCCGGGCGAGGTGGCGGGCGCCTGTAGTCCCAGCTACTCGGGAGGCTGAGGCAGGAGAATGGCGTAACCCTGGGAGGCGGAGCTTGCAGTGAGCTGAGATCCGGCCACTGCACTCTAGCCTGGGAGACAGAGCAAGACTCCGCCTCAAAAAAAAAAAAAAAAAAAAAAATCAGCAAAGCTGCAAGATACAAGTACGTAAAAATTATTTATGTACCTATACATTAGCAATGAATAATCCAAACATGAAATTAAGAAAGAGGACTGCACATATGATAGTATTAAAAACAATAAAATATTTACTAAAAATTCATGAAATCTCAAGGGACACCGAAGAGCCAAAATGATTTTGAAAAAAGAACTAAGTTACAGGTTTCACACTACCTGCTTTCAAAACTCATTATAAAGATACAGTAAATCAAAACAGTGCAGTATTGGCATAAAGAGAGACATATAGACTAACATAATAGAGAGCACAGATAAAAACCCTCACATATATGGCTAAACCATTTTTGGCAAGAGTGCCAAGAACATTCACTGGGGAAAAAACAAAGTCTTTTCAACAAATGGTGTTGAGAAAATGGGATAGTCACATGCAAAAGAATGAAGGTGGACCCTTATCTTACACCATACACAAAAATTAACTCAAAATGGATCAAAGATCTAAAAGTAAAAGTTAAAATTATTAAATTCTTAAGAAGAAAACTTTCATGACACTGGATTTGGCAAATATTTCTAAGATATGACATCGAAAGCACAAGAAACAAACAAACAAACAAATAGCTACATTGGACTACAACAAAATTTAAAACTTCTGTATGTCAGAAGACACAGTCAGCAGAATGACTGTTGTAAAAGAGGCAACCTACAAAATGGGAGAAAATATTTGCAGATCATGTATCTAATAAGAGATCAATATCCAGAATATATAGAAAATCCCTACAACTCAAAAACTAAAAAATCAAACAGCCAGATTTAAAATGGCCAAATGACTTGAACACATATTTTTCAAAAGAAGATATACAAATGGTTAAATAAGCACATAAAAAGATGTGCAACATGAATAACCACTAGGGAAATGCAAATCAAAACCACAATGATACTAACTCACACCCAATAGGATGGCTAGCTTATATATTAAAAAATAGAAAATAAGTGTTGGCAAGGATGCAATAAAATTGAAACCCTTGTGAACTGCTGGTGCAAATATAAACTAAAGCAGTAACTGTGGAAAAAAGTAGGAAGGTTGGAGGAACCCTTACACACTGCTGACGGGAATGCAAAATGGTGCAGGTACTATGGAATAGTCTGGCAGTTCCTCAATAAGCTAATCACAGAATTACCATACGGCCCAGCATTTCCATTCCTAGATATATACCCAAAGAACTGCAGACAGGTGTACACAAATGTTCTATATCAGTTCTATTCACAATAACCAAAAAGTGGAAACAACCCAAATCAATGAATGAATGGATAAACAAAATGTGATATATACATGCAATGGAGTAATACTCAGCTATAAAAAGCAACGAAGTATTGAAACAAGTTATGCCATGGATGAATATTCAAAACATTAAGTCTAAGAGAGAGAAACCTGATACCAAGGTCATATATTAAATGATTCCATTTATATGAAACAACCAGAACAGGAAAATCCTCAGAGACAGAAAATAGATTACTGGTTGCCAGGGGCTGGTGAGAAGAGGGAACAGAGAGTCACTGCTTAATGGGTACAGGGTTTCCACTGCGTTAATAAAAAATTTCTGGAAACAGATAGTGGTGATGGTTGTAAAACACTGTGAATATACTCAATGCCACAGAATCGTATACTTGAAAATGATCAAAACTGTAAACTTTATGTCATGTGTATTTTACTACACACACACAAACCCTCTCCTGGATCCATTTCTCTGTCTCCCCTATGGAACAAAAGCCTTACTCTGTGTCATTCCCAATTCTTCACTTACTTTTAAAAAAGCATATTCTACTGTTTATATACGTAAACACTACCTTTTCTCAATGATGAGAAATAATATTTATAATAAATTGTCTGAACATCTCATGCCTCCCTTCCTCTAGACCAGTGGTCTCCAATTTCTTTTGATCATGTAATCCTACTGACAAAATGTTTTCTTAGCACAAATTGCCAAAATAGGTATTTATTTATATGTTATGTCACTACTGTGCTTATAAAATATACACAAAAATATAAAGTTTAAAAAGTTGAGAAAGATGAATATAAATTCAAATATTTTTCATTCCATACTCCACTGAACTGTTTTGCAAGCATCCTACTTTGGAGAGCACATCTATCGATACTTGAAATTTTCCTCTTGGGTTAAAGCAATGGCCTACATTTATTTACCTCTTGAGATCTCCCTTATTAACACCCTAAACTAAGGAATGCGATAATGGCCTTACAGGAGGATACTCTTTGTTGCACTGTGGTGCCTTCTTTAAGAAGACAGATGAGATAAATTTATCTAAGGCCTCTGTATCAGAAATATCTGTAATGTTTCTAAAATTTTTGTTCTCTTTTTATATTAAAAAATGAATGTAACCGATCACAAAATTCTAGCAACACCAAGTGCTAGAAAACATAAAGCCAAATTTGTAGCTCTTTTCTAGCGACCACATCCACAAGGCTTATTTATCTTCCTTCTGGCTTTGATTTGTCTTTCCATTATTCACATTTCCTTATTTACTCATTTTTTAAAAATCATATTGTAGCTCAACCCAGCTTCAATTTTTTAAATCAACTCAATTCTTCGATTACAAAAAAAAAAACAAAAAACCAACCTGTATTATTTATGTGTTTGTCTGTGTGTGTTTAAAAGAACCTCAAATATATTTCTTGAAAGACAGAGAGGAATGAATTAAAAAAAAAAAACCCAAATAAACATAAACCCAGCAATATTGTTCAGGATAGAGATCATTCTAACCTCAAAGCTCCCCCATTTCAGGGGTAAAGTTTACAGATTCTGAAGGATCTAGCAGCAAAGCCCTTCATTCAAAAGGTAATTCGTAAATGAATGTTGATGAAAATAATGACAACTCACAATAGCACTGTACTACACTTTCTCACTCTTTTCCAGTTGGTAAGAAATGGTATAGAGAGGAAAGGGCAAATGGCTTGTTTTTTTCACCTGTGTGCAAAGCTTAACTAGAAAGTCCATGAAGAGGGCAGTCACATTGCCAGATGGAATTTGTAGCCATGTACCTGGATGCGTCTCCTTCTGGTGTGCTCAGAAGTCACTAGGGGATGACCTGTATTCAATACTTTCTTGCTGTGTTTGCTCCGCTTCTCAAGGTATCTCCTCTGTTGGTTGGTGATGCTGCTATATAATTTAATTCGTCTGGGTGACAAGCATACTCTTTCATGGCCAAAAGCTTGAATCAACCGGGCAGTGTCAATAGTGGAAACAGAGCTACTCCTTTCGTGCAGAGCCACTTCTCTATCTGTTTGGGTCAATATATCTGATTCGACAGTAGAAGTGGTGCTGGAAAGGATGTTGGTGGCAGTATCTGTGAGCAGCTCACTCTCCTCTGAGGGCCGACAATCCGAAGAAGTGTTGCTTATATAATTAAAACCTGGCTGTTTACTCAGAATATATTTATCAAATTTAATCTGTTCAATTTTAATTTGATTAGACCTCCCAGCTCCATGATGAGAAAGCACCTTGGTTTTTTTAAGCTCTCCTGTGTTTTTATGGCTTTTCTCTAGGCTTTTAAACCGCTTCTTTTTCTGCAGCTTGTTTCTCTGCTGTTGTCTACCACTCCATTCCTTCACACCTCGTTCCCCTCTGCTATCATCATGTGTACTTTCTGAGACCTGGAGGGAATGAGTGATTGGATTCTGAAGAATTTTAGCCAAACGATCAAGTCGGTCCACCAAGGATAGTTCTTTCCTCTCACCCAACTCGGGCTGTCTCTGTTGCCTCTGTCGCTCCCGATACTTGTTCCACAGTTCATTCAAACTCACAGTGTGTTGAGTTGTTTGCTCTGGGGTGACCTTCTGATCCTTTTTTGGATCATTAATTTGTCCACTATATTCTGGATAATCTCTAGCTTGACTTTTAGTAGTATCTGTCACCTCTTTGTTTCCCAAATTCACATTGATGCTGAGGCTCTTTATTCTGGTATAATCTGTCTTAGTCTTGTCCATGTTTTGATAAGGAAGAGGAAGACAAATGTGTTCTCTCTGTTTGTCTGGATGATGCTGAAAGAAATCTTTCCAAGAATGTCTCATGAAAACACTCCTTCCCAAAGATTCATGGCAAATATCTTGATCACTTGGTAGGTGTACGGGATGATGAATGTAAAACTTCGCCGACCTGAAGACAGAATGGGTAGTATTTTCAAATTCTGAATGACATTCAGACTCTGAAAAAGAGAAAAAAAAATATTTTGAAAGAACTTAAAAATATTAGCATTCTGTTTAGAAATACTATTCACAATTCTTTAGATATATAACAAAGACTAAAGGGAAGAACAGTTTATATAAGGTATCAGAAAATTCAATGCCTGCACAAAAGACTCATGCCTTGTTCTTAGCAGCCTCGCGGGTACACTAAAAGTTTAAGAGACATGAATTTTGGCCTGGGCTCTGCCACTGACCGGCTATGTGACCTTGAGGAAGGCACTTCAGTTCTCCAGATCATAAAAGCAACTGCTATATGTATTTACCACCTGTTCTGTGTACGGTGTTATGATATATGCTCTGTATCTGTTTTTTTAATTAATCCTGCCATTAAACCTGAGAGATAGATATTGGTAATCCCATATTCAGCTAAGAAACCTGACACTTCATTTTCATAATCAGTAATTAAATGGATAATTTTTTAAAAAAACTCTTTTTACATGTTTTACAGCCTTTTGAAATTCCTTTTCTGTGGATCATCTTGACTTTTTTCCAAATTTTTTTTTATTGTGGTAAAAAACACATAAAATTTACCACTCTCCATCTTCACTTTTTGACAACCACCATTTTATACAAAAAAAGGGCATTTTTAGATGTAGTATCTTACAATTATCTATGGTTTGAATGTTTGTGTCCCTCTAAAATTCATGTTGAAACATAATCCCCAATACAATAGTATTAGGGAGGAGGTGTTTAGGTCATGAAGGCTCCACCTTCATGAATGGGATTAGTGCCCTTATAAAAGGGCCTGAAGGATCCTGTTTGGCCTTTCCCTGCCTTCCACCACATGAGGACAAAGCAACAAGACACCATTTTGGGCTCTCACCAGACACCCAATCTGCTGGTGCCTTGATCTTAGATCTGTAGAATTTTGTTACAGTGGCAGGAAAGAGCTAAGACACAATCATAAGCCCTAATTCTAATCTCCACTATGACATCAAAACACTGTTTTAGAGTTCTACATCATGGGCAGAAACAAAGATACACACATGCAATGATGGGATCCTTTTCACCCACACTATAGATTACTGGCAAGCAGAGTTTTCATGAAATACTCTAGGAATCCCTACGGATTTCCCCTGAGTAGAGTGGGATACACAGGGCCTCCATTTATACCTAAAGTAAGTAGACTATACAATTTTAGAATTTTCCAGCAACATTTAAAAATTGGGAGATTTCATTTAGATACTACAGGTTCTTGAGATTGCAGTTTCTGCACTGAACAAATACAAACAAATATATAATTCTAAATTAGTGGCTACAAAGAACAAAAACAAGGTGATGTAAGAGAAATTTAACTGGGAAATGGTAGCTAGAGAAGATTTCTCTGAGGAGCATGAGATGTGAAGTAAAAATGAGAGCTAAACAAACAAACAGGCAGAAGAACATTCTGGGCTGAGGGATCACTTTCTGTGGATGTCCTGAGTCAGCTGCCACCTATGCCAATCCACCTGTTCCCACAACCCTTCTGGATACAGAGACAGCACCACCTCTCCCATTCTTTTAAAGGCAAGTTCCTCCACTGCTGCTCTGGAGCCCAACTCATCTTCCCTTCCAGACCTTGCTTCCTTTCCCTATCATATCTCTCTTCTATCTTTCAGGTTCTCCCTCTCTACTGGATCATTTCCAACGGCTTGAAAAAATCGTTTAGTATGTACATTTAGAAAATCCTCACATCTTCCTACAGGTACTGGCCCATTTCTCTGCTCCTCCTCATAGCCAAGCTTCTAAAGAGGAACCTATTTTCCTCTCTTTTACCTCTCTCCCTACCCCAATTCACTCTTCAAATTACTGCAGAGTACAGCCATACTCCTGGACTAAAACTGCTCTTGCTAATATGATCAATGACCTCAATGTATGGCCAATTCCAGGAAATGTTCTCATTCTATATTCTCTTTCTAGGTAATCTCATCTCTCCCTCTGGCTTTTAGTACCATTTTCATGCTGTTACCTGTTTTCAACTTTACATTTCAAGCTATGATTTCTCTTGAGTTCCAACTAATATACATGATATATCCACTTGGATGTCACAGCCATCTAACTGAGCTCTATTCTAGCCTCCTTGACAATTGTACCTCCCCTGGTCTTCCACATCTCTGTAAATGGCACATCATCCTACTGCCCAAGCCAAAATCTGGGAGTTATTCTTGATAGTTCCAACTCCCTTCTCTTCCTGCTCCTGTCATTAATCCTTCACCAAACAATCACACATCTATTTCTATTTCCTGTCACAATACTGCAAGTCTCTAATAGGTCTCCTGTCCCTTCTTGTACTTTTCCAATCTATTCTTCAAATAGTGGTCAAAGTAATCTTTTAAAAATGTAAACTGGACTTGTCACTTTCTATTTAGCAACTTTCAATGACCTTCTCTTACACTGAGAACAAAGCCCAAACTCCTTAATAAGAAGTACAAGTATACATAACTTTTCTTCCCCATTTTGTACCACTCTTCCTGGTAACTATACTTCAGCCATGCTGGCCTTTCCCCTGTTTCATCAAATAGCATGAGCAAAAGCATAAAAGTAGGAAAGCACTGAGGCAATAAGGGAGAGTATAAATATTCAGTATGTATGGCTTATTTCATTTATAAAGCAGAGGAAAGTAAGGTACCAAAGGTTATTTGGGGCCAAATTCTACAAGGTCTGGAACATTAGGCCAAGGACTTTAAATTTTATTCTTAAAAGAAATGAAGAGCCGCTATACCATTTTGAACAGGGGAGTAACATAATTGTGGCTGTATTTCAGGAAGGATACCTTGGCAACAGGATAAATAAAGCAAAAATTTGAAGGGCTATCTAGAATTCATTAAAGCAGTAAGTAAAACAATAAGGAAATAGATAACATTGCTCTAAAATGTTTATTTCCTAATATCAGTATTTTCAATGAACATAGTCCTCCCAGTCTGGGACTGAAGTAAAATACAGTGAGAATAGTAGAAAATAAGCAAGCTGAAGCCTGGGCACGGTGGCTCACACCTGTAATCCCAGCACTTTGGAAGGCCAATGGGGGTGGTTTACTTGAGGTCAGGAGTTCAAGACCAGCTTGGCCAACATGTTGAAATCCCATCTCTACTAAAAATACAAAAATTAGCCAGGTGTGGTGGTGCACACCTGCAATCCCAGCTACTGGGGTGGCTGAGGCAGGAGAATTGCTTGAACCCGGCAGGTGGAGGGTGCAGTGAGTCAAGATTGTGCCACTGCACTCCAGCCTGGGCGACACAGTGAGACTTCATCTCAAAAAAAAAAAAAAAGAAAAAAAAAAGAAAAAGAAGCAGCAGCAAGCTAAAAAAAAGAAAAAAAAAAGAAAAAGAAGCAGCAGCAAGCTGAATTCCTTAAGCATAAAGGGCTTTATAGAACAACAGGATTAGATAATCACCATCATCTCATGGCACTTTGTTAAGAGTAAAGGTCAAATAAGTTGAAGTAGTTATTTACTTCTGATAATTGAATTAATTTTATAGATAATATTTGCAAAATTCTCCCCGAATATATAAAAGTACACTGAAAATATGATTTACTGCTTTTCATTTATTTTTAAATATTTCTTTCATACTAGAACTGTAGACTTTTAAAAATTAAACATGCAAAATATTCAAATAATGCAGACAAATTTAATATGAAAAGTAAAGGTCTCCCTGTTATCTCTGAACCTCCTAGTTCCACTTTCTGGTGATAACCAATATTAAACAAGTTTTCTTACAGAAAAATTCCTGCCAAGTAGAGTAAAACTACTTGTTCAAAGCAAGATTTTGTGCATCTGCAAACATTTTATATTAAACTGATTTACTTTACCAAAATTTAACTAAATATTTGGTTGTTTCCAGTAGTTTATTCTTCCAAAGCATGCTGCAGTGAACATTTGTCTGTGTGTTTATGTGTAACTTTATTTTATTTTTCTGGGTACAACTTTATCTGTGTATCTGTAATTCCCTTAAATGGAAGTCTGGGTGAAAAGGGAATATTTATTTCAACGTTAGTTAGATATCATCCAATTGCTCCACACTTTCAAAAATGTTGCAACAAATTTGCACTTCTAATAATAGTCTTATAAGAGTACATTAATGTTTCCCCACGTACTCAACAATACTAGGGATAATCAAATCTTTTCATCTGTGCTATTGTGACAGGTAAAACAAAATCTGTGGTTTAGTACATTCTTTATTGAGATAGTTAAGTATTTCTTCATATCTTTAATGGCCATTTGCATTTCTTTTACTATAAACTTTTTGTTCAGGTCCTTTGTTTTCCTTTTAGGCTGTCATTGATTTGTAAAAAGCTCTTTGCATAGCAAGAAAAGTAGACCCTTTTCTCAGTTTCTCAATTTTTTAAAATTGTTTTCTCATTTTTCATTTATAAATTGATTTTGCATCATATTTTCTAACATGAAGACACTTTTAATTTTAATATATACATTTATCAAATCTTTGGCTTTATGACTCCAAGATTTTGTCAGACCTTGACAGTCTTCTGCTCAAATTTATTAGAAAAGTCAGATAACCAGAACTTTTATGATCTCTCTTTTTTATACTTGGATCTTTTATACTTGGATTTTGGTGACGGGAGTAAAGTAGGGCTACAACTAAAAATTCTCACCATACTCCAAATAGCTAGCAAAGTGTCTTGGCATTATTTGTTGAATAATCCATCTTTTTCCAAATGGAGCTGAAATGGTACCTTTATCATAGAGTAAGTGCCCACTGTATTTAAGTATTTTCACTGATGTATCAGTCTCTTGTCCCAGTAGCATTCTTTTACTACTGTCATTTTAGTACCCTGTAAAGTGTAATACTGTGATATAATAAATACATATTTTTGCCTTATCCCTAGCTCCTGGCCAGAACTACTAAAACTCTTGCAATTTCCATTTAGGAAAACGTGATAACAGCAATAGGGGCATCTTTTATTATAATATTTGGTTTTCGTACCTGGCTGTTGAAACAGTTCAGGAGTGAGTGATAAAGGT